ATTTTCCCCACTTTCACTCAGTAACATGTATGTATATATATAAAACTCTGTTACAACAAATTAATAATGATGAAGAATGTGAGTTTGGGAGTCAGAGAGACTTGGTTGAATCCCTGCTTTCTAAGTTGTTATTAGACTGCATTACTGGCAAATTGTTATCTGTTCTCTACAGGCCTTTGTTTTCTATTCTGTAAAACAGGTGAAATAGTAATGGCTCATATAATGTCATAATGAAGACTAAAAATGATAGTGTATATAAAATGCTTAACTTGGAAGCTTATATATGATAACCTAACATCAGGAGACACCATAGCATAACAGTTTATAGTATGGTTTCTGGAGTCATACTTCTTTAATTTAACCTGGTTCCAACACTCTTAACTGTTTGGGCAGCTTAGTTACTCAATCAAGGCTTGGTTACCTCATTTATAAAAAGATACTGATGTCTACTTGAGGTTGTACAATTCTTGAATGGCTAAAATGGAAGTTCATTTCAGGCACATTGTGNGTTTGGGCAGCTTAGTTACTCAATCAAGGCTTGGTTACCTCATTTATAAAAAGATACTGATGTCTACTTGAGGTTGTACAATTCTTGAATGGCTAAAATGGAAGTTCATTTCAGGCACATTGTGAGTTAGCTGCATTTAGTAGAAATGCAGACAATAATTTACTTAATTATCATGATACCTCTATAAAGACTCTAGTCTTAAATTTCCTCAATGAAAACCTTTTCAGTAAGAATATGAAACTTGTTCTCAATCTTTTATGGAATGAATATTAACCAAAGCTCATGAACAGTTCTTCCTATAGAAGTGTCCTGCGGAAGACTGGTTTTATTAATTACATATCTCTAGTCTACTATAAAAAATGAACATATTTGGTATATTTAATGCTGTTGCTGTTTAGTCACTAAGTCATGTCTGACTACTTTGTGAGCCCATGGACTGTAGCTCACCAGACTCTTCTCTCCTTGGGATTTCCCAGGTAAGATTATTGGAGTGGGTTGCCATTTCCTTCCCCAGGGGATCTTTCTGACCCAGGTATCAAACTTGGAGATAATTGCATATTATAAGGCTAAATGTAAAAGCACTTTGTAAAGAAACCTGTATAATAATGATTTTCTTTTTGAAAGATAATGAAAAAAATCCTTACATATAATTAAATATTTTTATATAATTAGGATCTTGGAGAATAATATGAAGCATACATACTAGGTTGTTATTACTGTTGATCTAGTAGAGATGGGATGTGTGAAACTAGATTGTGGGTGAAATGATGGTAGTAGGGAGTGGTAAGGAAAAAAATAAAGGAGTCTGTCATAAAAACAACATGTACAATATCCTACTTGTATAAAATCAATTTATATGAGTGTGTATATGTGTATAAAATAATACATGAAAGATTGTTCTCTTAAATATCAATGGTATTTAACTGAGGGTGATGGGTTTAGATAACATTTAATTTTAAATATTTTTATACTTTTTCTCTTGTTTGATAATNCCCCCCCATATCTTCTTTAGTCATTCATCGGCTGATAAACACTTAGGCTACTACCATATCATGGCTCATGTAAATAAATTGCTGCTAAGAACATTTGGGTGAATTTATCTTTTTGAATTAGTGTTTTCATTTTCTTCAGATAAACACCCAGTAGTAGAATTGCAAGATCATATGGTAGTTCTATTTTTAGTTTTTGAGACTCCCTCCATACTGTTTTCCATAGTGCTCCACCAGTTTATATTCCTACCAACAGTGTACAAGTGTTCCCATGTCCTGGCCAACGCTGATTATTTGTTATCTTTTTGATGATAGCCATTCTGACCAGTGTGAGGTGACATCTTGCTGTGGTTTTGATTTGCATTTCTCTGAGGATTATCTAAGCTGAACATCTTTTCATGTCCTATTGGCCAACTGTATGACATAACTAGAAAAATATTTATTCATGTCTTGCCCATTTTTAATCAAGTTGTCTATTTTTTATTATTGAGGTGACTGAGTTCTTTATATTATATATATATACTATATATATATATATATATATATATATATAAACCCCTTATCCGTTACATGGTTTGAAGTATTTTCTTCCATTCAGTAGGGTGTTTTCTCATTTTGTTAATTGTTTCTTTTGTTTTGCAGAAAGTTTTGAATTTATGTAGTCCCATTTGTTGATTTTTTTCTTTTGTTGCTTGTGCTTTTGGTACCAGTATTATTATGACCATTATCGTGTATTAACCTGTAGTGGAGTGTAATCTATGTTGTTGTTCAGTCGCTCAGTCATGTCCGACTCCTTGAGACCCCATGGACTGCAGCATGCCAGGCCTCCCTGTCCTTCACCATCTCCCGGAGCTTGCTCAAACTCATGTCCATTGTGTCAGTGATATCATCCAACTATCTTGTCTTTTGTTGTCCCTTTCTCTTCTTGTCTTCAATCTTTCCCAGCATCAAGGTCTTTCCTAATAAGTCAGCTTTTTGCATCAGATGGCTAAAGTATTGGAGTTTCAGCCTCAGCGTCAGTCCTTCCAATGGATAGTCAGGATCGATTTCCTTTAGAACTGACTGGTTTGATCTCCTTGCAGTCCAAGGGACTCTCAAGAGTCTTCTCCAACAGCACAGTTCAAAAGCATCAGTTCTTTGGCACTCAGCCTTCTTTATAGTCCAACTGTCACATCCATACAAGACTACTGGAAAAACCATAGCTTTGACTATCTGGACTTTTGTTGGTAAAGTAGTGTCTCTGCTCTTTAATATGCTGTCCAGGTTTGTCACGGCTTTTCACCCAAAGATCAAGCATCTTTTGATTTCATGGCTGCAGTCACCAGCTGCAGTGATTTTGGAGCCCAAGAAAATAAAGTCTTTCCCTATTTCCATTGTTTCTCCATCTATTTGCCATGAAGTGATGGGACCAGATGCCATGATCTTTGTTTTTTGAATGTTGACTTTTAAGCCATTTTTTTCACTCTCCTCTTTTACTTTCATCAAGAGGCTCCTCAGTTCCTTTTTGCTGTCTGCCATAAAGATGGTGTTATCTGCATATCTGAGGTTATTGATATTTCTCCTGGCAATCTTGATTTCAGCTTGTGCTTCATCCAGTCCAGCATTTCGCATGATGTACTCTGCACATAAGTTAAATAAGCAGGGTGACAATATAAGCCTTGATGTACTCCTTTCCCAATTTGGAACCAGTTCGTTCCATATCCAGTTCTAACTGTTGTTTCTTGACCTGAATGCAGGTGTTGCAGGAGGCAGGTCAGGTCATCTGGTATTCCCATCTCTTTAAGAATTTTCCACAGTTTGCTGTGATCCACACAGTCAAAGGCTTTGATGTAGTCAATGAAGCAGAAGTAGGTGTTCTTCTGGACTTCTATTGTTTTTTCTATGATCCAGTGGATGTTGTCAATGTGACCTCTAGTTCCTCTGCCTTTTCTAAGCCCAGCTTGAACGTCTGGAAATTCTTGACTCATGGACTGTTGAAGTCTCGCTTGAAGAATTTTGAGCATTACTCTGCTAGCATGTGAAATGAGTGCAATTGTGCAGTAGTTTGAACAATGAGTGAAATGTGCAGTAGTTTTATAGTGGAGTCTATAAAAATACTGAATTACTATGCTGTGTACCTGAAACTGATATAAGATTGCAAATCAACTATACAGCAATGAAAAAATGGCCTAAATCTATTCTCTGTGGTTCTGCTTTTTCATGTCTTACTGTAAGTAAACTCCCCTTCTCCGCCCCACCCCCTACAGGAATCGGAGCTTCTTGCATTGAAAAAAAGCAGATCTACTTCCTAGATTTGCATTTATATCAGTCTCTGTATTCACTGTTCTTTGCTTTGTGGGTTTTTGCATATTTATGATATAAGATCATCTTCTGAAAGCGAGAATAGTAGTGAGAATGTCTGGAATTTAGATACAAAACACAAGAATCTCTGACTACGGTCATGACTAAACAGCTTGCATTAAACTAACCATTCTACTAAAAATAACTATAAAACCTTGACAAAATACATAAAAGGAACAGTCTAAGGTACTAGAAAGCAGTTAACACAGAAAAGACTTCAGGGGATACAATTCCAAGAAGGGAGGAACAAGGAGATGAGTTTCACATTCACCTTGGGGGTTTTCTCTTGAGTAATAGCAATCAGTAGGGCAGGAATATGATGATAGGAAGGCATATGGGCAAAACTGAGGTGAAGGAAGAATACTGTCTCAGCAAAAAGCAGTAGATTCTCCTCAGACTGAACTGAAGAGATAAAAGTTTGGTGCTTATGGCCAGTAAGGCACTTGGGGTTTGAGAAACAAATTCTGGAAAAGGAGAACCACAGAGAAGGAGGATCAAAGGGTAATATAATCTCCTTTCAAGGCATTTTTGATTTCTCAGCCAGCCATTCATATAAAAAATGAAATTTCAAAAAAAATTTAGCAGAAAGCAGAAATTAAGAGTTTAAAGAGCTGAGCAGATGTTTTAGGAGTCGTAGTTTCAGAGTACAAAATAGGAATTCAGGGACTGCTGAGGTGGAGGTATCGTAAAAACAGTCCAGGTTTGCAGCTGAGATCTCAGAAAGGTCATATTCCTGAGTAAGGGTCACATCCCAGAAATAAGAGCAAAAGTGGTTTAGGTTATTTTTACAACATGAATCCTTAAATGGGATCAAATTGATCTGTTTTTACTCTATCTGCTACTTGAGGAAAATTTAACCTTTGTTGCATTACTGTATCCATTGTCTTTACAAGGTCAAAAGTATAATGTGCAGCATTCAATTAAAAATATGGAAGCATATGAAGAAAGAGGACAAATGGTCAAGAACCAAGAGAAGAAAAAATCAACAGATAACATGCTCACAAGATACTGAAGTTTTTGTCAATACTAGAATGAAAAATTTTCTGAATAATGTTGTTTTTAACCTGAAAATAAGTAAAATAGAATGTTTATAAATTTTTGCAAATTAGTAAATAAAAATTTTGGGGCTCTGCTTGCTAACGAGTCTTCTTGGTTAATAGTTTTTATAGTCTCAGAAATTTCTTCAGGGCCTTTTTCATATCTTTGTTCCTAAGACTATATATTATTGGATTAAGAAGTGGGGTGACAACAGAATAAAACAGAGTCACAGTCACCTGCATTCTAGGACCATGTTCAGATGCTGGGCTCCCATACATGACCACTACTGAGCCATAGAACAGTAAAACCACAGTCAGATGAGACCCACAGGTCGAGAAAGCCTTCCTTTGTCCAGCTGCTGAAGGAACTTTCAATACAGCTTTTATGACCAAAGCATAGGACCCCATGATGAAGAGAAAGAGAATGATGAGGGGAATAGGGCTTAGAGTGGAGAAGACAAGCTCCATCACAGGAGCTTTTTCACAGGTGAGAGCTAGAAGAGGACCTGGGTCACATAGGAAATGGTCAATGATTCTGGATCCACAGAAGGACATTTGGGAGATGAAGATGACAGGAATCAAAAACCAGAGAAAACCAAGTACCCAGCAGCTGATCACAAGATTGGTGCAGAGACGTCCAGTCATGAGGGTGGGGTAATGTAGAGGTTGGCAAATGGCAAGATATCGATCAAATGCCATAATAGCCAAGAAAAAGCTTTCTGTAGAACCCAAGGAGAAGAAAAAGTAGAACTGGAGAAAACACNTCTCTAGGCAAGAATACTAGAGTGGGTTGCCATGCCCTCCTCCAGGGGATCTTCCTGACCCAGGGATTGAACCCACATCTTTTATGTCTCCTGCATTGACAGGCAGGTTCTTTAACACTAGTGCCACTTGGGAAACCCATAAGGACTTGCATATCAATAATTTTTTCTTGAGAGATGAAATATTGACCAGGATTTCCTCTTTATTCTCATTCACATTTTCATCCTGGATTCCAGAAAATTTCTGGTCAGAATAGATAAGCCCTTCTAGGAAAGGGCTGTAGCAGTATTTGAAGATTATATTGACTTAATAGAGAATACATATATAAGTATATTACCTTTAGGGCTTCCCAGGTGGCGCTAGTGGTAAAGAACCTGTCTGCCAATGCAGGAGACATAAGAGACAAGGGTTCAATCTTAGGGTCAGGAAGATCCCCTGGTGGAGGGCATGGCAATCCACTCCAGTATTCTTGCCTGGCGAATGCCCATGGATACAGGAGCCTGGCGGGCTACAGTTCATAGGGTCATAAAGAGTCAGACACGACTGAAATAACTTAGCATGCATACATACAAATATTACATTTAATAGAGTCTATCATCTATCTACCAACCAATCTACTGATCTATTGTCACAAAAATGGAATGGATTTCTTCCACTTTTCAAAGAGGTTACATCACTGCAGTTGTGCCAGAAGTTGAATCAAACTATGTTGCACATTTATACATTATCCTACAGGGTTCTGATTGATTTCAAGATCAATGTGCAAGATTATTTAACAAAAATATTCTCATTTAGAACAACAGAAAAAGACATGTTGCAGATATGCAAACTTTAAAAGCTACTCTGCCTTGAGATACTCCAAGTAGTTACTGGAGGATAAGCAAAATTTTAGTTTTGAATCTTTACAAATCCACTGCTACTAGAATATTTAGAATTCCATGTTATCAGTAATATTCATAGCTCATATCATTGGGATAGAAAATTATAAATAACTGTAGCTTGGAAAATGTCATATCTCTGTTCCAGGTAAGTAGAGACCTACATTGCCATGTAACATAAATTAATGGAACTTTTTGAATTACTTCTTTTATGTGACTTTTGAAGCAGCCTTTATTTCAAACTAAATGATTTAACTTATTAATTTCACAATGTTTTACACTAATCATCTGTAATCATTAGAATGCAATCACCAGATCAACTAGAGGAAATTAGCCTTGATTTCTGTTATGTTAAAAAGGCAATCCTAGTCATTCACGGTGGACCAGTGTATAAGAATTATTAACAGAGCATGTGAAACAGGTCTGTACTTACCTGGAACAGAGATATGAAATTTTCCAAGCTACAGTTATTGATTTATTTCTATCTCAATGATATGAGCTATGAATATTACTGATAACATGGAATTCTAAATATTCTAGTAGCAGTGGATTTGTAAGGATTCAGAACTAAATAAAAAAAAAACCCTTTCTGGGTCATTTTAAACAGGATTCCCTGATTCCTATTGCATGAGGGATGCTTGGGGCCAATAAAATTCTTGCAGATCTGCCAGATTGTCTTTTAGATTATAAAACTGGACTGAAATAGGATTTAATGGACTCTATTTGGTGAGGGGAAGAGTGTGTAGCTTCTGGTACCTATACCATGCAATTCCATTTGCTGTCTTTTTCTCTTCTGCTTGTAAAGTCATTTTTCTAGGGGCCCAGTAAATTTCTGGGACCACACATTTATTTTTTTATAAAGGAGAGTTGAAGGAAGACAGCAGAAGAGTATAATATCTGAGTGACTTTTAAGTCACTATGTACCAGTTTCACTCATGATCAATGACAGTAATCATTTACCCTTTTTTTGCTTCTTACCCTGGCTTTTGTAGTGTATTTACAAAGCTATATTTGTCGCTTGAGCCCATTGATTAGTAAAGAATAAAATTAGGGATGCAAAAGAATAATTCTGCTATGTGAAAAGGTCCTTAATGAGTTCTAAGTATTTTAGAATCTAAAGATAAATCTAGATTTGCCAGCTGAGATTAACCCTAACTTTGCCAGAATCCTTTGCTCTACATTACACTGCAGGCTGATGCTCATTATGAAATGTCCTAACAAAGTCTGTGTCTGTGCAAAAAAAAAAAACAACTTAAGTCTATAATTCTTGTACCAATTCAGAGGAAAGTATATGATCAATTAAAAACAATTGTTAAGAATTTTTGACCAGGTTTGCTTTGCTGGTGTTCCTGGAATTTCATTTTAGGAGTAAGCATCTGCTCAACAATCACATAATTGACCTCTTCAATTGAATGTTGAATAATTTTTTAGTGAAATTTATGTCAGTGTAGTTTTTTCTCCGTTATTTAACCATCACATTGAATCCATCGGAAATTACTGTTAGTTTTTCTCATGTCTAGCACTCTCTTGTTTAAGCTATCATCTTTTCTTCCACTGTGATGCTGTCCTTACTGGCCTCCTGTTTCCACCCTTGCCTCTAGATAGTGTGTTATCCCTGTCACGGCCAGGGTACTCTTTAAAAAAGAAAATCAGATCAATCCCTTTTCTTGTGCACATACTTCAGCTAGCTTCCCAATGCACTGACAATAAAATCCTCAAACCACAGTATTAGATGACCCCTTGTAACATCTCCAACCTCATCTCTTGGCTGTATTAATCAATCATATACATACTATATCTCTCAAACACATACACACACACACACACACACAGAAACACACATTCTGTTTTGCAAAGGACTCTGAAGTTTGAATTTAATGTAACTCTGATGTGTTATATTAACCCAGTTTCTGACGAACAGAAAGTTACGTCTTCTATTGATTTTTAAATTTAAATTCAAAATATAAGAATTCTTAGCTCACTGTCTACACAAAAATGGGCAGCAGGCCAGATCTGGACCATTGGCTATAATTTGCTGACTCCTGTTCCATGCATTTTTAAGGATAGGAAAGCAATGATCATCACTTTATTGTGGAACAATAGAAGCTCCTTGGTCCAGCAAGAATCTTATCAGATTCTTATAGAAAGGGAGGAGACCACTAGAGGCAGCTAGAATCAGCCTAGTCTTCTCAGGTAGCACCTTTAGGCCAGCTTTAGCTTAATTAAAAAGATGAGCTTCCAAAGTCATTTGCCTCTTTCTCTCTCTGTCTCTACACACACACACACACACACACACACACTCATATACTCATGCATGCACGGCTTCCCTCTTCCCCACAGTACTTCAGTAATATAACACTGGCCTTCTTTCAGTTTCTAGAAATAGCCAAGTACTTTTCTGACCCAGGGTCTTTGTTCTTGTTGTCCTCCATGGTCATTTTTAATCCCTAGTTCTCAGCACAATATGGAAAAGATACTATCTATTTGTCATTTTTTTTGAAAGAAATGATTGTCCTCACTGTTACCAACATAGAGAATATAGATAGATAATATAGAGATATCTACCAATTACTTTCTTTGAGCTTCAAAGAGCCTGTGAGATGAAGTTTTAGGAAATAAATGATATAAGAAAGGGCTCCAAATGATCTGAGACTATGAGAGTATTGGCCTGGACATGAGAGGAATCCACCATTTAAAGGAAGTAACGGGAGCTAAGGTTCTATTTGGAACAACATGTCCCACCCCAGGTGGCTTACTCTGTATTACTAGAGATAATAATGGCCCCCAGCTGTAGATGTTAAAACAGGGGATAGGGAGGGTAGGATGAAAACTCCAGGTTTAGCACTGTGACAGAGTTGCTTAGTTGCTCTAGTGGAGTCTCCTACTGTCTATAAACGTTGGTTTCTTTATATGAAAAGGGAGTAGGGTTATATAATTTTTAATAACCTCTCATTATAACATGCTTACTCCTATTCCAAGTATAATACAAGTACACATGATATGAAGGTTTTATAGATCTAGAGGTGATATTTAATTTACATTTATCTCTCAGATGAGAAAATCCATTAGTTTGTCACATTTACATGAGGCAAAAATATCCAGGTGATTCCCTCTAGGGCAATTCTCCTACTTTGAGAGTCTGACAAAGCTGCCCGAGAAAATAAGAAAAGTGTGAAAAAGTGATTCTCTGTGTGTCATCACCATTTCATGCTCAACCTAACTATAAATTGTCAGTGGGTGAAAAAAGATATTTTGAATAAGACATGTCATTTGTTACTCGCCTTTTATTACTTCACTCCTTTGTACAGAAGAGCTGTCATGTTCACCTGTCCAGAGAGGCAGGGCAGTCCCCTGAATTAGCTGCAGAAAGTTCTGTGGCAGAGGGATTGGGAATATGCATACAGTGGTGTCAAAGTTGTATTGTGTATGCAGGACGTTTCGATTGAGTTTATTAGCAAAGCCAAGCAAGATAAACTACTCCCTCACCTCCATGTTATCTTGGAAAGGTTGGGTTAAACCCAATCTAGATTAGCCAGACTCTCAGCTGTAATATATAAGATGAAGGAAAGATATTTCTCTGAAATGTTGCTTTTCCCCCAGGGCTAGTCCACAAAGGCACAATGGGGTAGAAGCATCATGCCCTACTCTCACAATAGTACATCCATCTGTTTCATTTGGTTTGGTCAGGAGATGTCACAGCTGTCCCATTTTTGCAATGCTTTTGAAAACAAGAAAAACTCTCATTTCTGAGAAGTGGTAGGTAGTTAAAGCATAATAGAAGAGCAAAAGATTTGGAGTAAGGAGTTGAGGGTATAATATACAACATGTAAACTATTTCTAGTTCTTCCAACTGTAAAATGGGTACAGTAGCACTTTCACCAAGGTACTGAGGACTCTGAATGATAAAACATGTGGAACCTTGTCTAGGGCCTGCTATACTGTAATGCATAGGAATTTTTAGCTGTATAATATACAGCTGAAGCAAAGTAAAAGGAAGCCTTACTCAGAGGATAGTAGCTTTCTCACTCTTTTATATTTATTTCTCCTCTAAGCATTATATCATCTCCTTTCTTGAACAAGAGGACTATCCAGACCTGAAGTTCCTCTGAGTGTCTGGTCTTCCTGGAGAGGAGAGTTGGTCTTCTCTACAGAAACCATCAAGCGGTGAAGGAGTAGAAACTGGGTGAAGATCTTTCTGCGCTTGCTGAAGGATGCGAAAATTATAAGCAAAGACTCCAGAGAGTGAGAATCCATGAGGATCTATTTACCACTTCCAGAAGGATCTCTGTGTTAGGAGACTGTTCTTACTAGTTATTCCCTTCCTCTGGGACCTGTCTTCTCAGGAGACTGGTCCTTCTACCTTTGTCTCCCAGTAGAGTAGAAAACAGTACTTTTTCCATCCCCAAACTTCTCAGTGAAGGCATGAGATTTCATCAATCTTTTGCCAATATGAGCCAACTCAGAGCGCTGTTCAAGGGAAAGTCTATTAAAAAAAACACAGTGTGATGGCTGTTAGGTAGAAGATGTTCCTGAGCCTCTAGTGAGTGCTGTCAATTATGGGTTTTGGGAACAAATCTCTCTCTGATTCTCCTGAAGGAAGAGATGGGTTGGAGGTATGATGTGACCTCAGCCATAAAGGGCTGTGCAGTTACTCCAGGAATCAATCCCCTTCCAGGACCTCCCTGTTTGTTTTATAGATCTACCCTTTCTCATTTGTGGTTGAGCCCTGTGAGTCTCAAACTGGTGTCTTGATGGTTAACTTAGGTCCAAGAGAAGCCAGAGCAGAACATTCCTTAGCTCTTCTCAGGGTTGGATCTAAGGCTTCCTCATCTTGACAGAGGTACAGGTGTTTTAGCACAACCCATTTCTTGTCCCTCTGTCCCATTTGTGAAGGAGTTTCAAGTCAATGACTTATCAGGTCGTTTAACTTCCTTGTTTGATCTGCTTTGATGTTTCCCTCTGTTTACAACATGAGATTTGAAATTGGCAAACAAGGACAGTTGCAATTCAGCTGTAACTATTGTTACCCTTGTTGTAATTTTATATATATATATATATTTTTTAACTTTTTTGTTATATTGAAGTATAACCGATTGAAAATGTTGTGATAGTTTCAGATGGGCAGCAAAGGAATCAAACTATACATTACCCGTATCCATTCTTCCCCAAAGTCCCTTCCTATCCAGGCTACCACATAATATTGAGCAGAGTTCCCTGTGCTAAACAGTAGGTCCATATTTTATATTTTTATCTTTTCCCCACTATTTCTTGCAGAAGTTCTTGCATCACAGTCAGATTAAATTGCTTAGATACATAGTGGAATACCATATATTTCGGTGGGGTGAATAATTTTACCCTCTGAAAAGCAGACAAGAACACTGTGAATTGATGACTACCAATGGGAGAGTTGAACCCTGTGGAGTGAGGATCCCAGGAGACTAAATCATGCAGAAGGGTGATAACTTATGAAGTGTTCTCTTTGCTTTCTTCCAGGCTGGAAGTTAATGACCTCCACACTTCCTGAAACCCTCAGCTATGGACAGATTGGAATTGGAGTATCAGTATCCCAGCTCCTTTGGCAAAATATCGGGATAAGTCTGGAGTGTCTAATTGCCTACCTTGGGATCCTCCAGAGGGATTAGCTGCATTTATTTCCAATGGGAGTTGGTTTGACTACTTACCCTTTGTTGGAGGACTTCTCTTCCTTATTTGACTTTTCTCTATCAGCATTCCCTTCATTACCTAAATGAACTCTGCATTGGAATCTTTGTCTCAGGATTTATTTTTGGGGAGAGCAATAAAGACATAGGGCCTGGTATATTTGGTCTACCCTCCATTTGTAACATTTTTAGACAATAAAGTTTGTGTCCAGTTTCGAACCAGTTTAAATTTTTTTCCATTAAGCTTTTTAGCAACTTAAATATTGATTTTGTCAGGTGAGTGCTATTCGTTATAATGGTTCCTTTAAGAGTACTATCATCAAACAGATTAATTATAAACATAAAAAAGTTCATTCAGTCACAAAAAGGAATGATGTACTGAAATATGCTACAACTTAGGTGACTTTGAAAACTTTATGCTTAGTAAAAGAAGGCAGTCACAAAGAGTCACATATTGTATGATATGGGCTGTCTGGAATAGGCAAACCCATAGAGACAGGAAGCAAGTTAGTGGCTGCCAGGCAATGTGGGGAGGGAGGAAGGGGGAGTGACTTACTGGAATGGATATGAGGTGTTATTCTGGGGTGATGAACAAGTTTTGAAATTACAGAAGAGTGGTGGCTGTACCACACCGTGAATGCACTAAATACCACTAAATTGTATACTTTAAGATGGCTGATTGTATGTTATATGAATTTCGCCTCAATTAAAAAAATTAAATCCTAAATTTAATCTAAAAAAAAGAAAGAGTACTATCATCAAAACACCACCTATCTGCAATCAGGCCTTTTTACTGTGGAAGATGGAGCATGCATGAAGATTTTCCAGGTAAAGGAATAATGGATTCATGTGACAGGTCACTGATTGTTTTCTCTTAATTGGTTATTAGTAATAAGCTTTCTTATAAGAGAAATTTCAAAAGATAATATTCCACTGAGGACACAGCTTTATTAACACGCCACTTGTGAGCAAATGCTGTTGCCTCTTCTCTTAGAGAGCCCAAAAGATTGCTGTGTGACTCAGTGGCAGATGTCTGAAGTACAGAACCATCTTCTTGTAGAGCATGTGTAGTAGAGATCACTTCATTCTGTAGCCAAGCCAATTGGTTTCTGAAGAGCTTTCAAGTCATGTTGTTACCATTTTCCTAGAATGTCTGTACCACTGGTTAATTCAATACTATAAACAATTACAGAATAATGCCACTATTTTTTTCATACTTCTGTCCAGTGTCAGGTTACCCATCATCATTTTCTGGTTTTAAATCCCATTATGGTTGGTCAGAGGAGCCTGGTGGGCTATAGTCCATGGGGTTGCAAAGAGTTGGACACTACTGAGCGCGCACACACAAATGGTCGGTTTGAGTAAATCTTTTCCTCCTTTTCTTCATTCCTTTCTCTCCCTTCTCCTCCCCTTTCCCTTTCTCTGTTTCCCTCCTTCCCCCTGTTGTTTTCCTCCCTCCCTGTCCCCCTTTCTCTCTTTCCTCACCGCCTCACTTTCTCCCCTCTTTTCACTGTCTTCCTTGGTCTGTGGGCTTCCCCTGTGGCTCAACTGGTAAAGAATCTGCCTGCAATGCAGAAGACCTCGGTTCCCTTCCTGGGTCGGGAAGATCCCCCGGAGAAGGGATAGGCTACCCACCCCAGTATTTTCGGGTTTCCGTGGTGGCTTAGACGGTAAAGAATCTGCCTGCAATGCGGGAGACCTGGGTTCGATCCCTGAGTTGGGAAGATCCCCTGGAGCGGGGAAAGGCTACCCATTCCAGTATTCTGGCCTGGAGACTTCCCTGGACTGTATGGTCCGTGAGGTCGCAAAGAGTCGGACACGACTGAGCGACTTTCTCTTTCACTCTCCATGCTGTGTGCTCACTTGCTCAGTCGTGTCCGACTCTGCGACCCCATTGGCTGTAGCCCGCCAGGCTCCTCTGTCCATGGGGATGACAAAACTAGAATTCAAACCTAGGTCATGGGTGTTTGGATCTGTTGCTCTTTGAGCCTGTGTTGATGAGTTGTTGGGGCAACGACTGCATTCTTGTGTGTTGCCTGCACAGTTCACAACATATTCATGTTGTTACCATTTTCCTAGAATGTCTGTACCACTGGTTAATTCAATACTATAAACAATTACAGAATAATGCCACTATTTTTTTCATACTTCTGTCCAGTGTCAGGTTACCCATCATCATTTTCTGGTTTTAAATCCCATTATGGTTGGTCAGAGGAGCCTGGTGGGCTATAGTCCATGGGGTTGCAAAGAGTTGGACACTACTGAGCGCGCACACACAAATGGTCGGTTTGAGTAAATCTTTTCCTCCTTTTCTTCATTCCTTTCTCTCCCTTCTCCTCCCCTTTCCCTTTCTCTGTTTCCCTCCTTCCCCCTGTTGTTTTCCTCCCTCCCTGTCCCCCTTTCTCTCTTTCCTCACCGCCTCACTTTCTCCCCTCTTTTCACTGTCTTCCTTGGTCTGTGGGCTTCCCCTGTGGCTCAACTGGTAAAGAATCTGCCTGCAATGCAGAAGACCTCGGTTCCCTTCCTGGGTCGGGAAGATCCCCCGGAGAAGGGATAGGCTACCCACCCCAGTATTTTCGGGTTTCCGTGGTGGCTTAGACGGTAAAGAATCTGCCTGCAATGCGGGAGACCTGGGTTCGATCCCTGAGTTGGGAAGATCCCCTGGAGCGGGGAAAGGCTACCCATTCCAGTATTCTGGCCTGGAGACTTCCCTGGACTGTATGGTCCGTGAGGTCGCAAAGAGTCGGACACGACTGAGCGACTTTCTCTTTCACTCTCCATGCTGTGTGCTCACTTGCTCAGTCGTGTCCGACTCTGCGACCCCATTGGCTGTAGCCCGCCAGGCTCCTCTGTCCATGGGGATGACAAAACTAGAATTCAAACCTAGGTCATGGGTGTTTGGATCTGTTGCTCTTTGAGCCTGTGTCGATGAGTTGTTGGGGCAACGACTGCATTCTTGTGTGTTGCCTGCACAGTTCACATCATATTTATTAATATTCAGTCCAACACTCTATCCTTCCCTGCTGGCTTCTTTTCTCACTTCTGCTTCATTTCCCTGCATACAGCTGAACAGTACTGGCTCTCTCTTTCTTTTCTAATGATTGGTACCTGAACATCTGCTGCACTATCCCAGCATGGGTGGCTCTGGGTATTCCAGTGTTCTTGTGTTTGCTCATTCATGTCCTTATGTGCTTAATTCTCATGGACCCAATGATGCCCTGTCCTGTACCCTCATTCCAGTCATAGATTACATAAATACATTCCTCGAGCTCTACATCTAGGAGTTCAGTTAAAATGCAGACAATGATCACATCATGATATTAGTATAGTCTGCAGTGAAATCAATCTCAAACCCTGTAATCTCCAACCTACTTGACAATAATCTGGATCTTACAGATCTTTGTGGAATGAGAATTAATCAGAGCTCATGAATTGTCTTTGGATAGCCCTGTAGCTAACGCTGCCTTTTTCTGGTGTATGGAAGAATAACCACTTTTGACAATCTAAATTGACTTATTTTTATTCTTTATAAATCTCTAGCTAGTAGTACAAGGAAAAAATATTCAGTGTGTGTAATCAAATTTTAGTAAAGATACTATAAGCATAAAATGAAATGGTAGAGAAAAATATTTGCAATATATTTGACAGCTGAAGTGTTAATATCTAAAATAAATAAAATTTTCCTTGAGCAAAATATGAACAATTAAAAATGGATAAAGATGTTNAAGCTAGGCATTATGCTTAGTACTTTTATGTCCATTATCTTATTTATCTTCTCCCTGTTCTCATGGTGCTAGTGGTAAAGAACTCACGTGCCAACGCAGGAGATATAAGAGATGCAGGTTAGAACTCTGGGTTGGGAAGATCCCCTGGAGGAGGGAATAGAAACCCACTGTAGTATTCTTGCCTGGTGAACCCCATGGACAGAGGGGCCTGGTGGGCTACAGTCCATGGGGTTACAAAGGGTTGTGTGAATGTGTGTATAAGCATACAATTACATGTGCACTAAGAATAGTGTGGAAGGATACACATCAGATTATTCATATTGCTTATTTAACTAAAGTGTGAGGTAATTGTGGAGAGAAGTGGGGAAAGAATAAAGGTAACGAGAAGAAAAGAAAAAAAAAGAAGATGGCTTGCAGAGAGACAGCTTGTCTGTTGTGACCATGTATGAAAAATTATATGTGTGCATGTATACAATCATATGTATATAAATTATATGCATTAATATAAATTATATGCTCTCTATATAATATACATATGCACATAAATACATCTGAAAAGATGAATAACTAAAACTTAATGATATGGAACCCTGGACAGTGGAATTTAGGTGACTGAAATATGTTTATACTTTGCTGTTTAAAAAATGTTTAAAATGGAATAAATGCTGGAGAGGATGTGGAGAAAAGAGAATGCTCTTGCACTGTTGGTGGGAATGTAAATTGATACAGCCACTGTGGAAGATGGTATGGAGATTCCTTAAAAAAACTAGAAGTAAAACCACCACATGACCCAGCAATCCCACTCCTAGGCATGTACCCTAAGGAAACCAAAATTGAAAAAGATACATGTATCCCATTGTTCATTGCAGCACTATTTTCAATAGCTAGAACCTGAAAACAACCTAGATGTCCATCAACAGATGAATGGATAAAGAAGTTGTGGTGCATATATACAATGGAATATTACTCAGCCATTAAAGAGAATGCATTTGAGTCAGTTTTGATGAGGTGGATGAACCTAGAACCTATTATACAGAGTAAAGTGAGTCAGAAAGAGGAAGATAAATATCATATTCTAATGCATATATACAGAATCTAGAAAAATGGTACTGAAGAATTTATTTACAGGACAGCAGTGGAGAAACAGATATGGAGAATATAGGCTTATGAACATGGGGAGAGGGGAGGAGAGGGTGAGATGTACAGAAAAAGTAACGTGGAAACTTATATTACCATATGTAAAATAGATAGCCAATGGGAATTTGCTGTATGTCTTAGGAAACTCAAACAGGGGCTCTGTATCAATCTAGAGGTGTGGGATGGAGCGGGAGATGGGAGGGAGGGTCCAAAGGGA